ACTCCCATAGTGTAAAACTGTATATATCAGGAAGCCGGAGCTCCTCTCTGCTGGGATTTAGTGACCACCCCAAAGTATACCAGGAAGTCAGATATAGAATCGTTCAAGACTTACGTCACAGCAAGGCATCAAAAATGTGAGGAACCTAGAGATCAGTGTGTAGTGTCTTCAGCAGCACTTCAATGTAGTGGATAAGAGCATCAAAATAGCAGAGAAATTCAAAATTTGGGGAGTAGTCAGTATTTGTAAATGATGAAGAAGAAGATGTTGGAAGGAAAAGATGCATATATGGAGCTGATATCTTATTGCAAGTTGTAAAAGCATTTCTTAGCCATGCCATAAGGCTGTCCATTTTATAAATACATTTAATTCTATGAAATATATCTTGTTGGTTAGGTAATTGTTTGTGATGAGATATCTCATATCTGGCAAAAGCAAGTAATTGTGTTAATGTTACATAGGCGACCACAGGCTGCAAAATGGTTTGCCTAGGATCTGCATTTGTGGATCCAGAGAGTTTATCATTCCAGTAGGGTCTTTTACATGAGTTCAAGTTCTAATCAGAAGGTATGAGCTGTGGAGCATTGCCGAAAGAAGTTACAACTTGTCCACGACCTCTCCAACATTGGTGGGTGGTGTCCAGATAGATATGATATAAACGTGCAAGTGTCTTGTGACATTTAAACCTGTTGCCCACAGGAGTAAAAATGCTTTTTACTGATCTGAAATGAGATGCACTGCTGTCTATAAGGGAAAATGTCACCAGCACACGAGGATCACCAATATGGGTCCAAATGTTTTAATGAACGATTCCATAGTTACAGCAAGGCAACGTTTCGGAGTCTCGCAGGACCCCTTCATCAGGCATGTGCACTGTTGTCTATGAGATATCGCACACAGCTGAGTAAAGATCAGTAATACAGTGTTAAGTACAGAGCCGTAAAACAAATATTGAACATTTTTCATTTGAGTGCAGTCATTTGCTTGCTGTTTACTTGTTTAGGCCCCTTGTACACAAGCTTCATGATTTACTGATGTTTACTCAGGAACTGATGACGTCAGTGTGCAAGGAGTCACAATACTGGTAATGAAGAAGATTTTACTCGTCTATACTCTACTATATTCTTACACACCTTTACTGGCCTATACTCAACATTACGCAGGTTTTTACACACAGTTTTTGGCCCCTTGCACACAGTAAACATCAGTAAATTATGACTCCCATATGCAAGGGGCAGAATCTTGATAATACTGCAGATGGAAGTACGAGAAACAATTTCCTAGATATCTTCTGGTGTAAGTGGTGACTGAAGTTCATTTTCCTGTAAGGTCATATAAAAGGTGACCTGCAATTATCTTATGTTGATTTCAGCCTCCCTAATCTACTACTGGGGGGGTATCAAAAAGTTTCAAGACTAGTTTGGTAACACACCAAGAGATGGCAGCACAAGGCTGTATGCACAGTCACAGAGAACACCAACCTTCATAAGTCAGTGTGCCAAAAGATATCGTCCTTTGTACATTGGGAGCTGTGCAACTGGTGCTATGCTGACCACATGCGTTACCATGTCTGCTATTTCATCATGAACAGCAAGTTAGAACAAACAGCAAACGTGAAATTCGGTGTAAGACTGGGCAAAGTTTTTAATATCATTATTTGGCAAGTTTACAGCAATGCTGCAAAGAGTCATTCAAGGTGTTTTGAGTGGCACGCACGCTTCAAGAGTGGAAGAACATCACTGGAAGATGACGAGCGATCAGGAAGACTTTCAACAAAGCTCAACCCCCGAAAATGTCCAAACCATCCAGCAACTTGTGCATGATGATCGTCAGAGAATAATCCACAACATTGCTGCCATTTTTTGGTGTCATACGGAACAGTCCAGGCAATCCTCACGTGTGATTTGAGCATGTGCCGTGTTGCTGCCAAGTTTGTCCCCAGGCTGCTGACCCAGGAGCAGTCTGCCAAGAACTCCATCAGCATGCTGTGCATGACCCGGCCTTCATGTCGAGGATCATTACCGGTGACGAAAGTTGGGTGTACGGGTTTCAAACAGAATTTCGCGTTTGCTCTTTGTTCTAACTTACTGTCCATGATGAAATAGCAGACACGATAACGCATGTGGTCGGAAAAGCACCAGTTGCACAGCTCCTGATGTACACAGGTCGGTGTCTTTTGGCACACTGATTTATGAAGGTTGATGCTCCCTGTGACTGTGTATGCAGCCTTGTGCTGACATCTGTTGGCATGTTACACAATTAGTCTTGAAACTTTTTCATACCACCTCATATATGACAGTCATTTACTCTTTCAGTAAAGGTAAATATGTATAGAAATCTATTTTGAGATGATTCTCTTACCTAACAGAAAAAAGGACAAGTGATAGAGAAGAATTAAACCATAAAATGTGAGTGCAGGGTAAACATTCCTTCTCCAGCTATATTGTTTATTAGGCAGTCATGATTTCATTTCTTGAGGCTTTGTCATCTGCTGTGAAGTGACAGAAATGATGATGGGACCCCAAGGTAGATGGAACCATCTTTGTCCTATTTGTACTTTTGTAGTGAGAAGTTTGTATTACATTTGGCAGCATAACTATAAATCTTGCTGAAACATAAGCTCTTGCTGCCTTAGGGCATTTTGTCTGTAGAATTGTCTGGAATATCTGCTGTGTCAAGAAGGGTTACAAAGACTTCCAGTTTTCACTGACTATCCACCAATGTAATATCCCCTTCTGTCAATATATAGATAAGAATTGTGTCTTCATATCCTCTAATTAGCTGGTTACTGCAGGGACAAAAGCAGAGATTTCTTTGTATTGTTCTCTCATACATACACAATATTGCTGCCAATATTTTTCACACTGTGCTGTCAAATCAGACTGTTGTACTTCGGATTCTTTGAAGAACAAAGATATTTTTTTTTTAGGCTTTTGTACGGAGGAACATATGCGCTCTCGAGGAGACACAGCGCATTGATGGTTATCAGTGCAGACGGCGAGGTCTCCATTTACATCTATAGTGTAAGCGCTGAGCAAACCGTTGGCGCTATATAAATCCTGTATAATAATAATAATAGTAAAGCCAGGTTATGAGAATGCATCACAAGTTGGTGCAGCACACTACAGTGTATTACACAACTACTTTACTACATTCTGCAGACTGAAAAGACGTGCATCCTTGTGTCCCCTGGAGACTCCCGCAGTGCTGACAACCAGCATCAGCCTTTAGCGAGAAGAGCATCAGCATGCATATTTGCGCTTATTTCCAGATACCATCTCACATGCATACTTAGTTCCTCTCATGACCTTCTGCTATCCTTCACTACAGTTACTTCTTCACACTCTCACTTCCTAGCCTCTTTTTTCCTCTACCGTTCATTCTTTCCACACACTATATGACACCCTCTAATATTTAAAGGATATGTTCACCCTTTAAAGGATAAGTCCACCTTTTCGACAAAAATAATAAATGCACATTTTTTGCAGGGAAAAAAAAATGTGCATTTATTATTTTTGTCCAGAGGAGCTTGGAAACTATTGCACCAGGGATCAGTAGATCGCTGGTACCATGCAGGTCTCCCGCAGACCTGTCAGAATATCCGCTAGCCGTACGGGATGTACAAGCAGATATACTGACAGGAAGCTTCAATGAACTACCATAGCGCTGTGCATACCTACCATACACACATACGCACTTAAAATGTTTAATTTGAGAAGGTTAAAATTAAATTTTTAGCACTAGAATCTATGTTACATGTGTACGTGAGTATGACGCACACAAATACACAGAAATATGCAAAAAATAAGTGCAAGAAATTTTGGTCAGGAATACTGATGTTCAAACATCAGTACCATATGTATGTACTCTAAAGCTGACCTCCTGGTAAGACTTTTATTGCATACTTCCAGTGGTCCAAGTTGGCACAATTTAAATATGCATACCAGAGGGGCTGCTGGGTAAGATGGAAATAATTGTAAGAATCAGCACTACTACAGTGATAGCTGGGTTCTTTTGATTCCTGCTCAGGCTCTATGTCAGTGACTCATGGCTGTATCTGCCCCAAGGCAAACAAGACATTTGCCTTGGGTGGCACTTTTCGGGGGAGCAACGCCGCCACCAGGCAGAAGGGACCAGTGACGTCTCAGCAGTGCTCGGGTGGGGGGGGGGGGCAAAGCAGGGCTTAGCCGGGGAGGCGGGCTTGGCAAGGCTCTGGTGGGGGGGGGGTGGACAAGGCAGTGCTCGACAAGGAGGATGGACTTGGCAGTATTTGAGTGGGGTGGCGGGCTTGGCAGTGTTTGGGCAGGGGAAGCGGGCTCAGCCGTGCTCAGGCAGGGGAGGCAGTGCTTGGGCGGGAAGGTAGGAAGGCAGTGTTCGGGTAGGCTCAGCAGTGTTCAGGCGGGCTTGACAGTGTTCGGGCAGGGGAGGCAGGCTTAACTATGCTCAGGCGGGCTCAGAAGTGTTTGGTTAAGGGAGACAGGCTCAGCAGTGTTTGAGAGGGCTCGTCAAGGCTCGGCAGACCATTTCCTGTATCTTGTCCACAGTCCCTGTATCATGTCCGCAGTCTCTGACTGTATCCTGCTCACAGTCCCTGTATCATGTCCGCAGTCTCTGACTGTATCCTGCTCACAGTCCCTGTATCATGTCCGCAGTCTCTGACTGTATCCTGCTCACAGTCCCTGTATCATGTCCGCAGTCTCTGACTGTATCCTGCTCACAGTCCCTGTATCATGTCCGCAGTCTCTGACTGTATCCTGCTCACAGTCCCTGTATCATGTCCGCAGTCTCTGACTGTATCCTGCTCACAGTCCCTGTATCATGTCCGCAGTCTCTGACTGTATCCTGCTCACAGTCCCTGTATCCTGTCCGCAGTCTCTGACCGTATCTTGTATCCTGTCCACAGTCACCTGTATCCTGTCCGCAGTCTCTGACCGTATCCTGTATCCTGTCCACAGTCACCTGTATCCGGTCCGCAGTCTCTGACCGTATCCTGTCCACAGTCACCTGTATCCTGTCCGCAGTCTCTGACCGTATCCTGTATCCTGTCCACAGTCACCTGTATCCTGTCCACAGTCTCTGACCGTATCCTGTATCCTGTCCGCAGTCTCTGACCGTATCCTGTATCCTGTCCACAGTCACCTGTATCTTGTCCGCAGTCTCTGACCGTATCCTGTCCGCAGTCTCTGACCGTATCCTGTATCCTGTCCACAGTCACTTGTATCCTGTCCGCAGTCATCTGTATCCTATCCGCAGTCCCTGACCGTTCCCTATATCCTGTCCGCAGTTACCTGTGTCCTGTCCGCAGTCTCTGACCGTATCCTGTATCCTGTCCGCAGTCTCTGACCGTATCCTGTATCCTGTCCACAGTCACCTGTATCTTGTCCGCAGTCTCTGACCGTATCCTGTCCGCAGTCTCTGACCGTATCCTGTATCCTGTCCACAGTCACTTGTATCCTGTCCGCAGTCATCTGTATCCTATCCGCAGTCCCTGACCGTTCCCTATATCCTGTCCGCAGTTACCTGTGTCCTGTCCGCAGTCTCTGACCGTATCCTGTATCCTGTCTGTAGTCTCCTGTATCCTGTCCACAGCCACCTGTATCCTATCTGCAGTCTCTTACCATCCCCTGTATTCTGTCTGCAGTCTCTGACCATCTCCTGTACTTTATCTGCAGTCTCTGACCACCTCCTGTACTGTGTTTGCAGTTTCTGACCAGCTCCTGAGGTGCAGCTCTAATTGGAAGAGGAAGGGTGGAGTTTACAGATGAAGGGGTGGATATTAAACAGGAAGGGCTGGGGCAAATTTAGATGGGGGGCGCCCAATTTTAGTCTTGCCTAGGGCAGTACAAAACCAAATTAAACCACTGGCCCCACTGTAAGGTTGCTTGCTCAGCACCATTCATAGAATGTCTTGTATTTTTAATTTTTATTAATGCAGGGCATTCTCTGATTGCATGAGGTGGAGATTGTGACATCAGAGTCCTTCCTCTCCACCTTGTCCAATCAGAGAACACCTTGTATTCATTAAAAAAAAACACAAGGTGTTCTAGGAATGGCAGCAGTGCTTGGTCAGTGTGCAGTGGGGCATCCACTCACATAGAACCTGAACAGGAGTTAGTAGATCATGGCTGTCACTATACTAGAGCCAACTACTACAGTGATTTTCATCTTCTCCAGCAGCCAAGCTGGCTCAATATGAGTAAGCAATACAAATAATTTCTGTAGTTCAGCTTTAAATAAAAAGACAAGCATATAACCTGAGATAAATTATTTTCTTTAGCACTGATCCAGTTCTTCTTTGGCTTCCACCATACAGCAAGGCACACACTGTATTCTCACATACACTTTACTTATTCCCTTACTCCTTGATTCTATCTCTATTACTCTCCTATGAACAATGTCTCTCTATACACTCTATTGTACATTACATAGTCCTGACTGTGGTTTATATAAGCTGTGCTGTACATTACATGCTCCTGACCCAGGTATTTGCTGTCTCAGAAGTTACCCATAGCTTATAGAAAATATTAGATAACTGTCTATATTCTGTGCACAGAAAGGCATATGTAATGGAAGTTTCACTTTTAAAATGAACACCTTGTCCTGAGGTTTAAGTGTCATTGTGAGATTCTTGTTTGTGGCACATTAATTGAGTATTTTGTGGATTCAAGGGATGCAGTGACATATTTGTGCATTGTATACAACAGAGGTCCCCAACCCCCGGGCTGTGGACTGGTGCTGATCTGTGGCCTGCTGGGGGCTGAGCCGCATGGCAGGAGGTGGGCGGTGGGCGAGCAAGCCAGTGCAACCTGCATTGCCACCCTCCAACCATCTCCCAGCCTTCCCTCTCTGTGGTCATGTCAGCGAAGAAGAGAGGAAGAGAGATGAGGAAAAGGGAGAGATGGAGGAGGAGAGGAGGGAAGAGAGCCAGGCTGTGAATAGGATTGTCATTGCGCTGGTGAGACCCATACCCCACTAAGGTCTACAGGAGAGAAGACCAAAATGTCCTAGGGGCCTCCATAGTGAGCTGACTTTAGGTGACAGGCTGTACCCCTTCCCCCACAATGTGACAGGCTGCACCCCCAAAACCCCACCGGTCCATGGAGGGGATGTCTTCCACGAGGTTGGTCCCTGGTGCCGGGGAGGTTGGGAATTGCTGGTATACAACAAGTAGGCTGAGACTCTGTATACCAGCCACACTTAATATTCAACACAGTGTAACCATGACCACAATTTCTCTTCTAATGTGACCCCCCCATACCTTCAAGTTCTAAAGATGGAAGGTATCTTATTTTCACTTGTTAACCTATACAAGGCCTGATCCACCCAAGGGATGCTTAAAGTTGAACAATATTTGGATATGTGCACTGTAAAAATAAACTAGCCCTCCTGAAGTGTGTGATATGTGTGTGTGCTGCTGCATTCTGTAAAACTATTATTTTCATTCTAAATTTTCTGTTATTGGGGGAGGTGAGATCATGACATTCATGCGCATCTCCTCCATTCACAGAAAAACTTGAATTTTGTGAAAAGAATACAAGATATTTTCCTTATGGATGAGTTACTGAGTGAGCGGCCCACTATGGTCAATGTACTCCAGCTGGAACTATAACCTTAGCTCCAGACATTCGGCACCTACCATACTGTAAGGAGGGAATGAAAGTAAAAGTATTACAAAATGCTGCAGCCTACACACGATACACACTTCATTAGTAGTCATTTATTATTACAGTGCGTACGTCCAAAGATTGTTTTTGGTCACAGTTTAGCTTGAAATCTGTTGTACTGCGTGATGGTTTTGAACAGTAGAAAATCAATTCATATGAATAAAAATTGTATTCCATTTTTTCACAATACAATTGAAGTAAGAAATTATTCAGCAGAAAGGAAGGCAAGGGGTGTTTTGAGCAGAGCGTAGAGTACCAGGTACCTAAGTTATGTTCAGGCTATTGGCTGCATTGTGCCCTGGTGTGTAATGCAGTATACTCTAAGGCAAGGATAGGCAACCTTAAAGAGGTGCAGATCTACCTCAACAACATGGGAGAAGTCAAAGATCACCGGCACAGTGTCGCCTCCTCACACCTGATTTAAACTGCTAATTGCCGTACTACCATATCACAATCATGTGCATTGCACGGCAATCAAGGGTTTAAATCAGGTGATGAGGAGGCAACATATCGCCTCCTCACCACCTGTCAAACGCACTGGGATTGCTTTGCAATGGAGCAGCAGTGCCTACTGCACCTATGAATGAACACTTAGTTGTAATCGGCAGTGGCACCCTAAGGGCTTGTTCACATGTAAAGTTGGGGGGTGGTAAAACCCATTGATTTACTGTTTTACCACCCTCCGAACCTCTTTAGCTGCTGAGGTAGCAGCCAAAGGTGCACACATGACGCAGCAGGAATTACACCCCTGTTGTTTTTGGTGGATGCTACCACCTGTCAACCAAGACCCATTCATGTAAATGGGCCACTCTGCAAGTGCACTGCAACTGCATACTTCTACGGGGTCCAAGGGGTTAAAGCAGGTGATGAGAAAGCAACACATCATTGCCTGTTTAACCCCTTGTTTGCTGTACTGAACAAGGTTGCAGGGTAATTGCAGAGCGGCCTCATTCGCTTGAATGGGTCATGCTTGCCAGATGCTACACCCACCAACCATGACAGGGCGTAGGAGCCAGCACTACAGAGGAGGCATAGGCTTATGCAGCTCTTTCTCCCTACTACAGATCCAACTTTATAAGTAGTCCCTCTCATTGCATTCTGTTTGGTGCTCTGGGATGGAGGGTCAGCAAGTCCAGACCGAGATCTACCAGTCACCTGGCCAAGATCTTCTGGCTGCTGACCCCCGCTACAAGGCCTTATGCACACTGCAGCTCAAAGAAGCTGCTCCCAAAGCTGTATGAGCTGTTTTGAGCTGTTATTTTTCTCTGCCTATAAACTCCCCTCCATGTTAACCTATACAGTTGCAAGAAAAAGTATGTGAACCCCTTGGGATTACGTGGAGTTTTGCATGAATTGGGCATAAAAATGTGCTCTGAACGTCATCTAAGTCACAACAATAGAAGAACACAGTCTGCTGAACATAATACTACACAAACAATAGATGTTGCCATGGTTTAATTGCACATAACATGTAAACATTCACAGTGCAGGGAGGAAAAAGTATGTGAGGCCCTAGCTTAATGACTTCTCCCAGAGCTAATTGGAGCCAGGAGTGAGCCAACCTTGACTCCAATCAGTGTGATGATATTGGATGTGTTGCTGAAAGCTGTCCTGCCCTTAAAAAAAACACACACCTGTTTTGGGTTTACTGGTTTCAAGAAGCACTGTCTGATGTGAACCATGCCTCGCAGAAAAGAGCTCTCAGAAGACCTACAATCAAGAAATGTTGACTTGCATGAAGCTGGAAAGGGTTACAAAAATATCTCCAAAAGCCTTGATGTTCATGTGTCCATAGTGTCTACAAATGGAGAAAGTTTAGCACTGTTGCTACTCTCCCTAGGCGTGGTCGTCCTGTAAAAATGACTGCAAGAGCACAGCGCAGAATGCCGCATGAGGTAAAGAAGAATCCCAGAGTGTCAGCTAAAGACCTACAGAAATCTCTGGCACATGCTAACATTTTTGTTGACACATCTACAATAAGGAAAACATTAAACAAGAATGGAGTACATGGGAGGACACCACGGAGGAAGCCATTGCTGTCCAAAAAGAATATTGCAGCACGTTTGAAGTTTGCAAAAGAGCACCTGGATGTTCCACAGCACTACTGGCAAAATATACTGTGGACAGATGAAACCAAGATTGAGTTGTTTGGGAAGAACACACAACACTATGTGTGGAGAAAAAAAAGGCACAGCACACCAACATCAAAATCTCATCCCCACTGTGAAACATGGCGGAGGGAGCATCATGGTTTGGGGCTGCTTTGCTGCCTCAGGGCCTGGACGGATTGTTGTCATTGATGGGAAAATTAATTCCAGAGTTTATCAAGAAATTTTGCAGGAAAACGTCCGACCATCTGTCCGCCAACTGAAGCTCCGCAGAGGATGGCTGATGCAACAGGACAATGACCCAAAGCATACAAGTAATTCAACAAAACAATGGCTGCAACAGCACAGAATACGCCTTCTGGAGTGGCCCAGTCAGAGTCCTGACCTCAACCCGATTGAAATGCTGTGGCATGACCTTAAGAGAGCGATTCACACCAGACATCCCAAGAATATTGCTACACTGAAACAGTTTTGTGAAGAGGAGTGGTCCAAAATGACTCCAGATCGTTGTGCAGGTCTGATCTGCAACTACAGGAAATGTTTGGTTGAGGTTATTGCTGCCAAAGGAGGGTCAACCAGTTATTAAGTCCAAAGGTTCACATACTTTTTCCTCCCTGCACTGTGAATGTTTACATGTTATGTGCAATTAAACCATGACAACATCTAATGTTTGTGTAGTATTATGTTCAGCAGACTGTGTTCTTCTATTGTTGTGACTTAGATGACGTTCAGAGCACATTTTATGCCCAATTCATGCAAAACTCCACGTAATCCCAAGGGGTTCACATACTTTTTCTTGCAACTGTATGTCCATGTACACTATAGGCTTTGTCAGGTTCCTAGTGCCAGGGGTGTTTGCAGGCAGAAAAAAAACATTACTTGTGCATTCAGGAGAGGAGCTTTCGAGCATAAAAAACACTCCAAAGTAACAAAATGCGCAT